AAACCTTAAACAAAACAAAAACTCTTGGTAAAGTTCTTAGTAAAGTACTTCCTTCCCCCAATTTATGGGATAATAAAATTTCTGAAAGGTTCAGTGCATTTAAAGCTGAACAGAATATTCCGATGAAATGCAGGTAAGAGCTAAACCTGGAAAATCACATGAACTCGACCTGTAACCATGCACCCTAGTGTGTGGGAGCCAGGTGGGGCTTTCCAGAAGGAGCATCATGGGGTTCTGGCATTCCTGCTCCCGGCAAGCAGAGCCTGCCATCGTCTTAACAACCAAGAGCTCCTCCTCCACTTCTGAAGTCTTGAGAGCCACTGTTCTGGAGGTAGAAAAAGGCCCTGAATTACATAGTCTGTGCCCCGAATTGTCCCCCTTCCCCAGCAAGCTTCAGAAATGTTTCACTGTACTTTTTTTTTGCTGAGCGTGTGAATGAACTACTAGACTTTGAATACTTGAAGTAAGTGGCACTGATCTTACCTCCCCCATTTCCGCCCCTACACCACAAGGAGAAGATGTTTGAGAATGACACTGGGTGTGTTTTAGCTTCTGTGGAATGACTTTTGCTGTTTGTCACATTATACAAATTGAAAGAGGGGCATTACAAAGGGGCATTTCTCTTCAGAAGCAGATGTTGGGGTACCAATGCTGAGAAGAGTCCCTGAGAAGGGCAGGAAGCAGGCGTGGGCAAAGGAAGGCACGGAGCAGGACTGAGCTGTCCTGGTGGGAAGCCCCAGAGCCAGTGCCCTCCTGGTTGTTGCAGGAATGAGGGGATCTCGGGGAGGCAGCTCCCTGCTGCTGGGTAGCCCTTGGAGGAACTGGCAGCTGGGGGACATCTGGAGAGCACACCTCCTAGCTGGGTGGCAAGTCCTTCCTGAAAGGGCATCTTGGTGGCTCAGCTCTGTCTGTGGAGAGGTTTTCCTAGCTGTTCTTGCATGTGCTTCATAGGAACCCTAGGAGTTTAGGTGCAGTTGTCAGTCCCTTTTTATAGATGAGGAAACCAAGGCTTAAAAGATTTTCCTTGACCTCCCTCTTTTTTTTTTTTTTTTGTACCATAATGAGTGTCTCAGTGATGATAGGAACTTAGGCCTTCGAAATGCCAGTTCTCTTTAGTGATCTCTCTGGGCTTTAAAGACTGCCATTCGCTCATTGGTTTTTCACTTCTTTTCATTGCATAGGTGTGGGGGGCTCCTGAGCGGCAGCCTGTCCCACACATGCTGTGGCTTTTGTGGTTGGTGGGGTAGCTTGCAGATAGATTAGCATGGCAAGGGGGAAGTAGCTGAATTCTTTATTCACAGCTTTTATCACTTGATCGGCTTTAGGAATTCATTTAAAATTTTCTGCATGTGCGTGAAAGCTGCTGGTTTTGTGATTAGAGTCTACCAACAGCTTATTTCTGGCATAGGTGAAGACATTTGATTTAGGGACTCTGGAAGTCAGCGCCTTGAAAGGTTGTCACTGCCCACACTCCAGTCAACTGGTGCTGGGACTGTGGGATCCTGATAGTCACAGTAGGAGCAGGTGCCACCAGGCCCTACTGGACGGTGTCCTTGGTTCTGGCCCTCTTTTCTGTTTCTGTTTGGGTTCTCAGTGGCCCATGGAAAAGACTTTGAAACAAGGCAGTTTCTGCTAATGTAGGCTAGAATGACTTTGGCTTTTTAGCAAACCAAGTGGGAAATGGCTATTAGGCTACGAGGTGGGCCAATGGAACTATGCAGTAGGACAAGTCCAATGGGACTTCTGTTTATTGCATCTGCTAAAACAAAGCTTCGCATGATAGTTGAAGATTTGTGAGATCAGAATCTCTTACTATACTATGATTTTTAAAAATTACCAAGTATTGGGGCCAGCACCATGGCTCAACAGGCTGAGCTTCTACTTGCAAGCTTGGGCATCCCACGTAGGCTGTTCCCATCCAACTCTGTGCTTGGGAAGGTGGCAGAGAATGGCCCAGAGCCTTGGGACTCTGAACCCATGTGGGAGACCTGGAAGAAGCTCCTGGCTCCTGGTTTTGGATTGACTCAGTTCTGGTCATTGTAGTCATTTGGGAAGTGAGCCAGAGGACAGAAGATCTTATTCTCTGTCTCTTAATCTCTTTATAAAACTGCTTTTCCAACAAAAATAAATTAAAATTACCAAGTACCTACTCCCTGTGACAGTGCAGTCTCCCATCCCTGACATGCTGTTGGGTCCCTGGGGTTATCACTGATAGCAGTTGTACGTCTTTCTTCTCTGCTCTGTCTTTGCCTGGACAGACCCAAGTATATCCATCTGTATCTTTTCTTTTCTATAAAAAACACGATGCTCAATATTTTTAAATTAGTTTATTGCAAGCCAGCATATTACAGATATTTTCTTTCCCAGCTCAGTCTGGTTCTGTGGTATTCCATTGTGTGAGTGTGTCTGGAGTTATTCAACTGTCTCCCTGATTCATGGACATTTAGCTTATTCCTAGTTTTCATTGTTTACGCAATACCATTCTAGTTATGGAGCTAGGGCTAGAAGGATGAACAAGGGAGATGTTTCCATCTTTCCAAAACTTAACATCATGGAGGGGAGACCCTCTAAAAACAGGTAAAACAATACAGAAGATACAAAATAGCAGTGAGATAGGAGGTATGAAAAAAAGGCAATAAACTGTTAAAGGGAAGGCTCTGATGTGGTGGATCTAAGTGGAGATCACTGATTCGGGGAGGTGGCTTCTGAGGTTGCAGGTGAGGGAGGTTAGTTCCCCTGGGGTCATTGACTAATGAAGGAGGCTGCAGCAGCCACACTGCCTTCAGCCACTGGCCAGATGCTCTATTTCTGCATGGCCCCCGGTGCTGTGTGTCTTTCACGTTTCTGCCAACGTGATAGGAGAAAAACAAGGATTTCCCAGAATGCTCATGAGGTTACATACCTCCTTCCATGTTAACTTTTGCATTCTTCTCTTCCTTGAATTGCTTATTCATTTACTTTGTGATGCACAAAATTGGATTCTCCTTTTTTTTGACCAGTTTTTAGATGCTCTTGGCCTCGGATACATCCTGGCTTTTCTCTTTCAGTGTTTTTCCGCTTTGAGACTTCTTTCCTTTAGCCCTAGTGAGACATGGGCCTGGTTAATCCTTAGGAATTTTGGAGCTTGGGTCTATGACCTTTTTAAATATCTAAAACATTACACATTAAAAAGTTTGTACTGGGTTCTTTTTATAATTATTTTATTTGCGAGAGGATGGGGGCATAAGACAAGGGGAAACAAGGGGAGAAGGAAGGGAATTGAGAGAGGCAGTGCCCATTTGTTGGTTCATTCCATGAATTCCAACAAACATCTGAAGCTGGGAAGTAGACACTGTTACCTGAGCCATCGCTGCTGCCTCCACAGGTGCACATGAGCGGGAAGCTGGAGTCAGGAGTGGAGCTGGGACTAGAACTCGGGGGCTCTCATCTGGGATGTCTGCATGTCAGACTGCATGGTGCAAAATGCATGTCTTTGTATTGGCTTCTTGAATGCTGAAAGGGAAGAAAAATCTAAATCTGTAGTTAAGCAAATATATGTAAGGTATAACTTAATGTCACCCTGCTATTTATAACTTAAAATATAATTCTAACTCAAACTGATATGTAGTGTGGGTGATGGGTCTTAGAGTCTGGGCTGACACAACAACAGAATGCTATAGACTGGGCAGCCTGTCACCAAGAGGCCTTTCTCTCTCATAGCTTTGGAAACACCCTGCCTGATGCGCACCTTTGAGTTGGCTCACTTCTTCCTTCCTGCCCGCCTGGGCCCACCTTCTGTGTTCTGGTGCTTGCCTGGCCATGGCTGGCTCCAGTTTGAGACTTCTCACCCTCATATCACCACTTTGCTGGCTTTTCAGCATGGCCAGGAGCACCTGTCCCTCTTAGGGCCCTTTAGGGAAAAGGCTTGGCCATGGCCCACAAATAAATGTTAAGGTTGCCTCATCTCCAGCCCAACTGTTTCTCCTCAGTGTTTGGTCTACTATTCATTACTTTTCAGAGATTCCACCTGTATAGTTTTTAAAGCTTCAGGCTCATTTTCTACTCCGCTTTTCATACTACAATTCTGCTCTTACTCTGCGCTCATCACTTTGGTTCAGGGCATAAATGTCTGCTCAGTTGTCCATGGTTGAAACTGTGGAGTTTATTCTTTCCATCCTTCCTCCTTTACCACAGGCTCTATCAGATGCTAAGGCTCGTCAGTTTGGTGTGTAATTGCTTTGGGATCTGTTCTGTTCTGTGTCTCCTGGGGTTTGCTCCTGGCGAGGCTCTAAGCATTCATGCTTGGCCTCATCTGCATTTTTATACTGGTGTGTCTCCTCGGCCACACATCTGTTCCCCTATGTTCTAGAGCTTCTTGCCTGCAATCTCAAGATATTTGCAAAGGTAGAGGCTTGCTTTAGTTATCAGAACGATTGGCACTGCTGCCAGCAATTGGACCTGTCAAAGGTGGCAAATATTGTGCAGTGTGTGCCAAGTCTTCTTGCCATGGAAACGGCCATTCCAGCATTCTGGGTGGCGACTCCATTCAGAAACAGACTCGGCTGCTTTATGCATCTGCCATTTGCTTGACTTGGATGCCCCTCGAGTTTCTCTCTGGGGCACTCCCAGACAGTTCTGAGTCCCAGCTTAAAGCTGCCAGCTTCTATCTGGAGCTTTCTGTGCTGCATTTCACTGGAGGTTAATTTGTTCCCTCACTGGGTTCCCAGAGCACCTGTATTCCCAGTTTACACACGTTATGTCTTTTCTTGCAAAAGAACTTATTTAATCTTTTAGTCCTGGGGCGTGGCAGGTTGTAGGTGCACAATAAGGTACAGAGGGCGAGATGGCTGACATCAGGGAAACTGGCTGTCTTTCAGCTGTATGGTCCTTGGGTTTGACTTTTCCTATTGTGCTTGAATTCGGGTTCCCTCCCCTGCCCCCTTTTCCTTTCTCAATTGCTGCCTTCCTAATTCTGGCATGTGCTGCTTTATTACTCCAGATTGGCTGTCTTCCATAGTTACAATCATCTGTGGTTCCTCGAGGCATCTAAGAATTGAAATAGATCTTGGCCAGCTTTACTCCTGAGGTATGATGGCAGTAGTCGCAGCTCCCGTTGCCAAGGCAACGGCCTTGTGGTTCTGAGGAGAGTGTTTTTCTCCGTGGGCCTTCTCTAGGAGAAAGGAAGACTCGTATCTCCATATTCAAATTCCCATTCTACCCTACTCTTTGCTTATAAAAGACCATTTTCAATGGGAGCAGAGCAGAGATAAAATGTAACTCAGCTCTGGAAGTTTAAACACTTCATTGAGGTTACTGAACAGACAAAAGGGAGCGTGTCTCAGCGCGTGGAAGCAGCACCCCAGAGCTGAATGGTTTTTCCTGGATATTTTTTAAAAATGCATCTCTACAAAATTTTTTTGTTTTTATGACTTTTTAAGAAAGATTTATTTATTTTTATTGGAAAGACATACTTACACAGAGAAGGAAAGACAGATCATCTATCCACTGATGTACTTCCCAAGTGGTTGCAACAGCCGCAGCTAAACCAATCTGAAGTCAGGAGCCAGAAGCTTTTTTTGGGTCTCCCACATGGGTGCAGGGTCCTAAGGCTTTGAGCCATCCACTGTTGCTTTCCCAGGCCACAACCAGGGGTGGGGTGCTGGATGGGAAGTGGAGCAGCGGGGACATGAACCGGCACCCATATGGATGCTGGTGCGTGAGAGGTAAGGGTTTGGCCACTGAGCCACTGCACCAGGCCAGGCCCTCTTTATAAAATCTTTAATGTTCATATCTCTTGGCCATTTAGTCTTCACTTAAAATTTAGAGATTAAGGTCCCTTGCCAATCAGTAAGCAAGCCTAGGGTTATTATTATTTTTTAAAGATTATTTTTATTACAAAGTCAGATATACAGAAAGGAAATTCTTCCATCTGATGATTCACTCCCCCAGGTGAGCTGCAACAGCCGGTGCTGTGCTGATCCGAAGCCAGGAGCCAGGAGCTTCCTCCAGGTCTCCCACACGAGTGCAGGGTCCCAAGACTTTGGGCCATCCTCGACTGCTTTCCCTGGCCACAAGCAGGGAGCTGGATGGGAAGTTGGGACCCTGGGATTAGAGCCAGCGCCCATGTGGGATCCCAGCGTGTTCAAGGCCAGGACTTGAGCTGCTAGGCCACGCTGCCAGGTCCCAGGATTATTACTTCAAATGCCATTTGCCTAGTATGAGGGAGGCACCCATGGATTTGATCCTCCTGTCTGATGGAGGACTCCCCTGTTTTGTTTCATAGTGGGGTGTACTAAGAAGGCCTCAGGCCAGCCCGGTGGCTTGCATTCTTATGAAATTCATGCCTGTAAACAGGTGGATCCCTTCCTGCTCTCCATTCTCCCGTAGGATGAAAAAGTCACTGCTCCTATGTGTCCACTTGGTGCAAGTGGAGATTGTGGATTCAGAGCTTCCCAGAATGAAAACCTCTACTGTCGTCATGCTGCATGTCTGTGAACATGTCGCGGGCCTCAATTTCCTCACCTATTACATAGGATAATATGCTCGTGTTGCAGCTTTAAGGGGAGGAATACATAAGATAAGGTCAAAAATACTAGCCTTGAGCTTGGTCACTGCACATTACAGTGAGTGATAATTTGGTCTTCTTTTCCACCCCAAGTTGAAAACTTGAGCTTTTGTCAGAATATTCCTGGCTAACCCTTGCCATTAGCTGTGTGATCTCTGCCTCCATCCACCACCTCGGTTCATCCTGAATGCTACCTCCCCAGAATGGTCTTCCTAAAACTGCATTCAGCTTTATCGCTCCCTGCTTAGTAGATTTTCATGTCCACTGGAGTGTGGCAGAGAAGGACCTGGCAGCACAATTCTGGCTCATTGTCTTTCCTTTCCTTCTTCTCGCTTGTCTTTTTGGTCACCATAGAATTTCCTCCCAGTGCACGTTCCTGGTAGCAATGCCCTCCCATTGGTCTGCCATCTGCCCATTCCAGACACAGTGACCGCTTGTCGCTCTGTGTGGGTGATGCCCTTGGACCATGTGGAGGAGGCAGTGGCTGCCATCTCCCCTCTTTCCTGGTCCAAACCTGTGCAGGCTTTCCCAGCCTTGCTGCAGTCTGAGACGTTTGGTCCCGACCCCATCCTTGTCTGGCTCTGAGGATTTAAGCAGCTCTGACTCAGCCCGGGGACTCTGTCAAATCAAGTCCGGTCTTGCCGTTGTGTTCCATTTTGGAAAATTGAACTTTGGGTTTGTTCCAGAGTTACAGTTCTGGCCTCTGCCTCTGACTTTCTCAGTCCTGCCCTGGTGCCTCTGTGGCCTCCAGCTCCCTGGGAACGATTCCCTCCTGCAAGATGTCTGTGCTGAGAATGAGCTTTCTACCTGCTACTGTAGACTTTGCTACGTACCTGCAGCTTTATTTGGATACCCCTTACTCTGGCTTACATAGATAACTAAAAAATTATACACCTAGGTAACTGGTGGTTATCCTGTCTAATGGAACAGTGGCATTTCTTAGACTCTAGCACATGTCATTTTTGCATGAGTGCATTTACACACTTATTTTGAACTTGGCACATTGGTTTCTTACTCTTCCAGAAGATGGTGGAGAATCAAGAAATATGAAGCAAATGGCGTTTGCGATCAGCCAAGCATAGATGTTGCAAAGTTTAAGACTCGTGCTCCTTACTGCCCGGAGACATCATGAACACTTAAAACACATGGCTGTCAGGTTGTAGCTAAATGGCTTATAAGTGCCAATAAGTTAGAGACTGTATTCACAACAGGGAAGCAGAAAGGAAAGGAAGGAAAATGTTACATTCATAAAGGCCCGAGAAATTACAGGAAACATTCTAGAGTGCTTTAGCATTTCTGAAGATACCAACAGGACCCATGTTGTAGCAGAGTGAAGCCACCACCTGTAATGCCAGTGTTCCCATATAAGTGTCAGTTCGAGTTCCAGCTGCTTCACTTTTAATCCAGCTCCCTGTTGATGTGCCTGAGAAAGCAGCAGAAGATGACCCAGGTACTTGGGTGCCTGCTACCCATGGGAGAGACCTGTAGGGAGTTCCAGGTGCCTGACTTCTGTCTGTCCTGACCTCGGCTATTACAACCATTTGGGCAGTTAATCTTCTGCCTTTGTTTCTCTTTCTTTCAAATAAAAATAAATCTTACTGTTTTTTAAAAAGGACACGGAGGGATAGTTGTGGTGCAGTGGGTTGAGCCACTGTTTGAGATGCCTGTGTCCATATTGGAGCGCCTGTTGGAGTCCTGGCTTATCTGCTTTTGATCTAGCTCCCTGATCATGAGCCTGGGAGACAGCAGGTGGTGGCTGCAGTGCCTACACACCCCTGCCGCCCATGTGGAAGATCCACCCAGGCTTTGGCATTTGGAGGAGGTGTATCAGCAGATGGGAGATACCGCTCCCTTTTCTCTCTCTCTGCCTTCCAAGTAAATGAAAAATAATCATAAAAGGCACCCATAAAAATTGCTTTTATTTTGGTTCTAAATCGGAAAGGACTGAAAGTGTTGATGTATAGGGGAGACCTTTTTATTTTTTATTTGCAGAGGAGGAGGGAGAGAGCGAGAGCGAGGAAGAGAGGCAGAGCAAGACCGCATTACCATCTGTTGGTTCACTCTCCAGATGCTTGCAGTGGCTGGAACTGGGCTGGGCCAAACCCAGGAGCTGGGTCTCTCATGTGGCCATACTACCATCTCCATTGGTTTGCCTTAGAAGTTTGGCTTGGGCCCGGCACAGTGGCCTAGCGGCTAAAGTCCTCACCTTGAACACCCCGGGATCCCATATAGGTGCCAGTTCTAATCCCAGCAGCTCCACTTCCCATCCAGCTCCCTGCTTGTGGCCTGGGAAAGCAGTCAAGGACAGTCCAAAGCCTTGGGGGCCCTGCACCTATGTGAGAGACCTGGAGGAGGTTCCTGGCTCCTGGCTTCGGATCAGCACAGCACCGGCCGTTGCGCTCACTTGGGGAGTGAATCATTGGATGGAAGATCTTCCTCTCTGTCTCTCCTCCTCTCTGTATATCTAACTTTCCAATAAATAAATTAAAATTAAAAAAAAAAGTTTGGCTTGGCCACATGGGTGCCATGCTTTGAATCGATTCCACTTATCTGAGCAGTTGCTTTGCTATGAACACACAAAACCTTCATGTACAGTTTTTCCTTTGCCTCATATCTGTGACTTTCTGCTTGGTTACTGATCATTTGATTTATTGTATTTTTTAGGGAAGTTCTTTTTTTCCGTAAAGATTTATTCTTATTTGAAAGGCATATTTTTATAGAGAGGAGAGACAGAGGTTTTTAATCCTCTAGTTCATTCCCCAAATGGACGCCTTGGCAGGAGCTGAGCAGATTTGAATCCAGGAGGTAGGAGCATCTTTTCAGATCTGTCACATGGGTGCAGGGTCCCAAAGCTTTGGGCCGTTCACTACTTTCCCAAGTTGTAATTAGGGAGCTAGATGGGAAGTGGAGCAGCTGGGACTCAAACCAGCCTCCACATGGGATACCAGCACTTCAGGTGGAAGATTAACCTGTTATTCAACCGTGTTGACTCCAAATCACTTTTATATAGATAAATGTCATGTGCTTTAAATTTTAGCTGTTAGGTGATGAAAGAAAATGCTTTTTTTTGCTCTTTTTCAGTCCGTGAATACACAGAAAGTTCAGATTAGAACTGTGGTTTTACACTGCTAATAAAGAGGTAAAAATATTACCCAAATTCTTTCAACATTGTGAAATTACATGTTCTTGGAAGTTTTAAAAGAGTGACACTAGTCTTGATCTGTGGCGTTTTCGTGTCAGTATATCTATACTCTGTTCTTGAAGGGTCTCAGTGATCTTATTGTCTGCATAAGAATTCTAGGCTCAGAGTTAATCAGGTCATTTATATTAGACAAGGCAGAGGCAATAGCAACAACAACCATAACAACAACAATAACAGCCCAAAGTTCTATTTTTACAAAGCTTTTGCTCAGAAAAGTACATTAACATTTCTGTAACTAAAATAAGAAAAATCCCTGCGGGCATGCGGAGTTGATTCCTGACCTGTTTGCTCTGCTGTGGCCTTTTGCCTGGGACAATTGAGGGTTTGTTGGGCAGAGTTTCTAGGAGATCTGAGTTCTGTGAGGGTTCCTGGGGCTTCTCAGGGAACCCAAGCTGTCTCCACTGTTGACACGTTATCACAGAGCCCACTGTCATTTTTGTTCTATAGGTGGTAATGACCACTGGAACCATGGGGAATTTCAAGTTTTTTTTTCTCTTCTTTCCCCTTGCTTCCTTCTTTTATTTATTTATTTTTTGTTTGTTTTTTTAAGTAAACTGATTTTTCAGAGGATGCATGAACTCTGATCTGGTAGCTTCCACCTACACACATGGTTCTCATGTCTAAAACCAGGGGTTTGGATTTCTTAAATGACAAACATGTTTTCTCAAACCCTTGGCGGGTTTCAAGTGTTGCGAAGCATCCCAGTACTCAGGCACACTCTTGCCATCGCCAGCTATGGACCAGGACAATGAGGAGGGCACAGCAGATAACTGTGGCTACATGGAAGATGTTCTGCTGCCTTCCAGTGTCCTGGGGTAGGGAAGCATCAGTGCAGATCTGATCACAGGGACTGTGAACATTTATGCTACAGATTGATGCCAAATTCAAAGGAATGTGCAATCTTGATGTTCTGTGCTAAAAATGGCGTTGGAATTCTGTTCAAGAAGTCTAGGTACTTTGTTAAAACAATAGTTAAGGCATAGCAGGTATGACACCAGCATCATAGTTGGGTGCCAGTTTGAGTCCTTGGTGCTCTGCTTCCAGTATAACTCTGCTGATTGGCCTGGAAAAACAGTGGAAGATGGCCCAAGTGCTTGGACCCCTGCATCCTGTGGGTCTGCAAGAAGAAGCTCCTAGTTCCTGGCTTCCGTCTGGCCCAGCACTACCTGTTGTGGGAATGAACCAGTTGATGGAAGATATCTCTCTTTCTGACTCTGTCTCTTCCCCCAATCCTCTCTGTAACTCTGCCTTTCAAATAAATAAACCTAGATCCTAGGTCCAATGTGAATAGAAGTGTTAAATCCTTAAAACAAGAAAAACAAAAAACGAATGGCCAAAACAATAGAGGACAGTTGTTGAAGTGCTTCAGGAGGTGTATAGGTAGAGATGGGCTACTGGCCTAGTGGCTAAGGTTGTGTCCTGTGTTGGAGTACCTGGTTTGATACCCAGCTCTGGCTCCTGACTCTAGCGTTAAGTTAATGCAGGCCCTGGGAGGAAGCAGGTCATGACTTACATAGCTTGGGTCCCTGACACCCATAAGGGAGTCCTGCATGAAGTTCCTGGTTCTTGGTTTTGGCCTCAGTTCAGTCTGTCGTTGAGGGGGTTTGGGGTTGGGTTGTGAACCAGGAAATGAGATGAGAGCATTTTCTCTCAAACATGTTAAAAACGACGTGTTAATTAGTTAGCCAATGAGTTACCAAAGGAAAAACACACTTTATTTCACCCACTTCTATAAAGATCTGAGTACAAATAGATCAAGGTAGGGGATTCCACAATCCTGGGGATAATGTTTGCTCCTCTTTGCTGTACCATCTTGATCATACAGCTCCTGTTTTTCAGTTCAAGCAGAGATGGGAGTAGGAAAGAGAAGAACTGGCTCGTTTGAGGAGCAGACTGAGAAATTGCAGGCATCATGTGGCTGCTTTCTCATTGGCCAGACCAGTCATGTGACTACCGATTTGCAAGGGATTCTGAGAATGTAATCTTCATGTTAGTAGCCATGTGCCTGGCTGAGACTTCTGTAACTCCAGAGGAAGGGCAGAATTGATATTAAGGAGATAACTGGGGGTCTCTATCATACAAGGATAGGAACATTTGGCCTTCAGTGTTTGCCATTTGGATACATTCGAACTTGATACTGTACCTTTTGAAACGATGTAATTATCATTCATAGATGATTCCAGACCATACCATCTAGTGTTTATATCTTATTAAATTGTTCAGATGTTGGGGAAATAAATTTTGACTGTATTGTCATTCTTAATTGAGAAGGATTATACTGGGCCCTGCACGATAGCCTGGTGGCTAAATCCTCACCTTGCAACCACCAGCATCCCAAACGGCCTTTGATTTGTGTCCTGGCTGCTTCACTTCCCATCTGGCTCCCTGCTTGTGGCCTGGGAAAGCGGGATGACCCAAAGCCTGGGAGACCCAGAAGAAGCTCCTGGCTTCTTGCTTTGAATTGGCTCAGCTTTGGCCATTGCAGCCACTTGGGGAGTGAACCAGCGGATGGAAAAATCTTTGTCTGTCCTTCTGTGTAAATCTACATTTCCAATAATAAATTTTAGAGATGATTGTACTTCTTTAAGCATTCTTTTATGGGAAGGATGGACTCATTTCAGCAAGTTGAAATTTCCAGCATGAATTCAGCTGCATCCAAATGAGAACCTGCCTCCTGGAGGGCAGCCTCTGGGGAATAGTTCAAAATATTTCATTCCGGATGGGAATTTGATTCTGGAGTTGTCCGTGGACGGTAATCAGAGTTGATGTTATGATGCTGAATATAGGCATGGAGCCAAAGCATTCCAAATGAGTTTATAACTTCCCCCAACCCCGTAACCATGTTAATAGGTAATTTTAGGGCCTGGGTTATAAACTAATTTTATTAAAACAGATCAGTGTCTCTTGTTTCTCTACAAGGAGATAGTGCCAGAAAACGCTGCCATTTTTTTCTTCCTGGCTGCTTCCTGTCTGGATTCTGTTTATTGCACTCAGCTCAGGATACTCGGTCAGAAGGAACTACTGTATGGCCAGGAAGATTTGTTTGTATGGAAGCATGTGGATATTGTGTTCTGGTTAGTAGGAAGTGAGCTGTCTGATTCAGATTGATGTTCTGAACCCTAGCACGTGCTGCATGCTGGATATTTTTGATTGCGTGTGCATTTTGCCTATTTGCATTTTGCTCTTTTTTTTCTTCTCTTGTAACATACAGAAAAAAAGTTTTTTCATTGCCCACCCCCCCATCCTATCTTCTTGCTAAGGGTGGTCTCCAGTGACATTGTCTTAGGAGGCGTTATCAGGCCTTGGTTAAAATGATGCACAGAGTCCTAATGGCGCAGGAGGGTATGCTGTCGTTTAGGCATTATTCCAGTTTGGCAACAAAAGGTCTCAGGTTCTCAGCAGTCAGTTTCACTTCCCCTTAAATACTCTCTGAAGCCTCTACAGGAATATCCCAGTGGCAGCAGGAAGTGAACCTGCATCACAGCATCATCACCTTTGACCTGAAGACTTGGGTTGAGAATCCTTAGAAAATATTTGTTTTTTAAAGCTTTGGATGTTAAGAAAACTCATGAGGCATTTCCCCCTAGATTGCTCAGATCAGTTCTACTTACAGGCGAGGTATCATTACCATTTTTTGAGTGAGACCACCGAGATGAAGGATTTTGCTCAAAATTTTAAAAGGCTGTGCAACCTGTTTTCATGAGGATAGCTATAACCCTCAAAATGGAAAATAAGCATTGATGAAGACATCAAAAAATTAAAACCTTCATGTTTTACTGATAGGAAGGATATAAAATATTGCTGAGGTTGATTGGTTATTCCTCAGAAATTGAACCTGGAATTACCAGTTGATCCAGTGATTCCACTTCTAGGTAGGAATATATCCATGATGATGGAGAGCAGAGATGCAAACAGGTATTTGCACACCAATGTCCGTAGTAATATTACATCAGCCAAAAGGCAGAAAGAGCACAAATGTCTAACAGATGAATGGGATTTTTAAAAAATTAATGCCAATGAAATACTGTATTCAGCTTTAAATAGGGATGAACTTATGACGTATGCTAAAATGTGTGTAGACCTTGAAGATGCTATGTTAAATAAAAATAGCCAGACACAAAATGACAGTTGTTGAGATACCTAGAATAGTCCAGGTCATAATGACAAAGTAGAATAGGGGTGAGCGTTATTGTTTAATGGGTACAGAGACACAGTATGGGACAGTAAGAAAATCTTGGAGATGGCCAGTGAATGCTTAATGCCATTGGTCTGCACACTGAAAGCTGGCTGACATGGTAACTTTCATGTTATATACATATTACCACAGTTAAAAAAAAAGATGTGTACTCCAAAATGAATTGTTTTAAGATACTGAAAAATAGAACCAAAGAAAATCATGGCTCTTTTGTCTCAAAGATTTATTTGTTTATAAAGATTTATTCATTTTTATTGGAAAGGCAGATTTACAGAGAAGGAGAGAAAGGGAAGATCTTTTGTCACTGGTTCACTCCCCAAATGATGACAATGGCTTGAGCTAAGCCAGTCTAAACCCAGAAATCTCTCCCATGTCTGTCATGTGGGTGCAGAGTCCCAGGGCTTTGGGCCAGCCTCCACTACTTTCCCAGGCTATAAGCAGGGAGCTGGATGGGAAGCAGAGCAGCCAAGACATGAACTGGTCCTGCAAGGCACAAGATTAGGCAATTGAGCTTTCGCTCCAGCATTCTGTATCAAAGATGAATAATAATCACTAAATAATAATCACTGCTGATTCTTCAAATTATATTAAAAGAACTTTGTGTTTTTCTTTTAAAAGACTGCCTGTTTAAATGTAATGTGAAACCATACCAAACTGGCAGATACCTGACTTTCCCAGGCGATTCCATCTACAGGGTACCCATGTTTGTTCATCTGAGAGAGAGTTAATCATGTTGACCATAAAGAAATCCTAGGTAATGACTGCCTGGCAGTGAGTCCCTGAATCTGCATAAGCCTGGACACTTGCTTCAAAACCCCAAATAAGTTTTTTTTTTCTTTTCTCTGTTTCTATAGACTTTGTCTATGATCTGTGATCTATGAGTGTGCTAAAAGTCTTTATAGGATGCTTTGTTGGGAATAAAATACATGGACCTCTTGGACTAGGGTCCTGGTGGGTGGCTTCCCGTCCCTAGGAAATGGGATCAGAATATGAGCTCCTTGACTTCTGCCCATGCGTGTTGCCTTCTTTTCATGAAGCCATCCTCTGTAGTAGGTAGGTCTTTCTGGTAAATCATTCTACAGGGAACTAATATGTTTATATACACATGAAAGCTTTCAGCATGAATCTTACAAATGTGCTTTTTCAAACTTGAGGTTGAAAAAATAAATATGGAACTTTAGGTTCATGTGGAACCTTTTTTTCCCTTCTCTGCTCATCTTTCCCAGTTTGATTGACTTCTTGTGCAATGACTGTGATGAACTTTGGCCACTTTGAAAGGTCTTTCAAAGACGCAGATGCAGCCAAGGGGCAAGCATTGCCTTTTTGCCCAGTGTCTGGGCAGTTAGAGGTCTGTTCCTGACTGCTGTCAAGCTCAGACACTAGTGACTTACAGATCTGCCTGGTCTGCTGTTGGGACAGTTGCTACAAGTTGTCTTTCCCTCCATTTCTTTTCTTACTGGTCTTCATTTTCTGCTGTCTAGAGAATTGCCATGAAAATGGCAGAAATTCAGTGATACTATATCCTAGCATTGAAAATGGCTTCAGATTGTGACTCAGCCACACATTCTCCTCAGTTCATATATACAAAATACAGCCCCCATTAAGAGAAAAATAAATCCAGAATATCTTCAGTAACCTTGCAACATTTTTCTAGATTTGGATCAAGTTAGACAAGATTCTATATGGCTTTTTTCTTAAGAGATTTTATTTATTTTACTTGAAAGTCAGAATTATAGAGAAAGGCAAAAACAAATAGGTCTCCCATCTACTCCCTAAATGGCCACCACGAGAGCTGGGCTGATCGAAGCCAGGAGCCAGAGCTTCTTCTGGGTCTCCCACATGAGTGCAGGGTCCTAAGGCTTTAGGTGTTTTCTGGGGCCACAAGCAGGGAGCTGGATGGGAAGTGGAAGAGCCAGAACTTGAACCAGCTTCTCTATGGGATACCAGCCTTGCATTTAGTGCTCCTCTTTTCCAGTGGCTGCCTTCAGTGCTTAGCACAGATGTGTGATGGACCATTTCTTCTTTGAGTGTCTGTGAAGTGCAGTGTCCTGTTCTGGGTTTCATTGGCTGGAGAAGTATTGCTTCTTCAGTCAGTACCCCAGCTGTACTCTCTCTGTCTCAGTGATCTGTGCTTTCAGTTGGGCAGCGTGGCTGGGGAAAACCAGGGCCCTGCCTCGTCCCACACCACTACCAGTGACGTCAGCAGAGCATGTCACAACCTGGAGAAAACGGAAGTTTACCAAACAACTCAAGGCAGGCCGGCAAATCTTTCTTTCTGTTTTGGACTCATTTAAAATTTGTAGATTTTCAGCTCCCAAGCAATAGCAGAGTAAGGTGTGGGAGATGTTCCTTGCTGGTGTGTCCAGGTGGGGGCCAACATGGTTGTTCGTTTTTGCTGTCACTTCGATTGTTGTGTTGGGTTTTGCTCTTCTGAGTTCTTTTTTTTTTTTTTTTCTTTTAACTTCCTCTATCCTTAAGGTTGTTGGGATCAAGTGCACCCGCATCAAGTGGCTCCCCCTGTGGAGAACAAGGTTTGTCATGGTGCCTGGCTTGTCACTTAGTGTACCACACAGCACTGGACCAAGGAATACAAGTTAAGGTGGACTTAACCTTAAGGAGGATGAGCTTCCAGACTGATGGGGTCTGTCCTGGCGAGGATGGTCTCCAACTGAACACCAGGCAAGGAGGCCCAAAGCCTTTGCTTTCCATCTCATCCCTCAGCTTCTCTTTAAGCACCCTCTCCTACTCGATTGTGAGACCATGTTTCCTGTACATGTGGCCGCGGGTTAGCCATAGAGAGACCAACTCTCTAGCTCCTTCCCATGCTGTGGAGGCAGGGCCTGTCCTGGGCTCCTCTGAGCTGAGTCCTGGCTGGTTGTTAACTGTGGTCATGGGCTTTACTGGACAAATGGACTTCAGAAACTTGCATGGTAGTTGTATCTTGCAGATGGGAAGATACATTTTTTAAAAAAGAATTATTTAATTTCAAAAGCATTTTTAAAGAGGAGAGCAAGAGTGAGAGCAAGAGGGAGGGAGGGAGAGAGAGAGAGAGAGAAAGAGAGGTCAGTTTTCCATCTATGGTTCACTCTCCAAAAGGCTATAATGGCTGGAGCTGGGCCAGTCCAAAGCCAGGAGCTTTTCACAGGTCTCCCTCATGGGCGTAGGGACCTAAA